CCCCAAAACCCCAAAACCCCAAAACCCCAAAACCCCTAAATTTCATAATAAAATTGAAAAATGGGGAAAGTTTGAAGTATAAATAAGAATAAGAAGAAGAGGAAAGAACGATACAGAACGACTGATGAGGAATTTATTACAAAGAAAGAGAAAGATCAAGAGCTTATTAAGAAAATCAAGTAGTTTTGTGAATTAAATGAATTTATAGAGGGACAATGACAGCCAATGATCTGTGGTATGACCAAGATGATGGTCTTATGATGAATGAGTTAGGAATGCAAGAGTTTGAAAAGGGAAAGTAATTGCTCAATTCCTCTTGCATTAAAGTACCTCTTGAGAGCAGAAAAATTAGAATCTTTATCTTTTACTAGTGCATATTACACTGGCTGAATTTACCTTGAAAACCTTTCAAAACCTGAAAAGTCTTTAGACTACTTCATGATATCAATTTCAAAGAACCCAAACTGGGATTACCCATACAGTAAAATTGGAGAGGCTTATCTAAAGCTAGAGATGAATCAAGAAGCTTTAAATTACCTCAGTCAAGGTTATAATCTATCGAACCCTTGAGCTGACTTGTTAAATAATTTTGGACTAGCTTTGTACAATAATAACTCTCTCCAGACAGCTCAGACTGTTCTTGAAGAATGTATTCAAAAGAATCAAGGGCATTATAAAGCTTATAACAATCTTGGGAATGTATACCGAAAGAAGGGCCTTGACAATGAAGCTCTTAAATTTTATAAGGAATCTATAAACCTGAGCGGAGGCAAACATCTAATGGCATTTATCAACTCATCCAGTATTTATTTAAGTCGAAATAATCTCATTGAATGAGTAAGCACTATCTTTGAAGCAATGGAGGTTGATAAAGCTAAGGCAAGGAATTTACTAAAGTATTGAGGTCTATATCAACTAGCACAACATCAGGATATCAAGAAGGCCGTAATTTTGTATGAGAACAAGGAATTCCAAGAAGGAATTGACTGAATAGAATCTATCCTACCCAAATTTCCTAAAAATATTGCTTTGAACTGATACCTTGGAATGTTCTATTATAAACTAGGCGAGAATGAGCAAGCAATAAAGTATTGAAAATAAGACAATAGAGGAATGCCTTGACCTTCCTGAGAAGCAAGGAACAGGTACGCTTCTCCCATAATTTATAGTCTCTAATTACTTCTTCAAGAAAGCGAAGGATACTCTTGATTTTATGGGCGTTGATTTTAAATCAATGTTCCATACTTGCGATGATTCCAAGGTCGACGAGGGGGAGCAAGAAGAAGAAGAACAAAAATCTACAAATGCAGACGATTTTCAGGAATTTGACTTTAGGGAAGAACCTAACTTTGATACTAAAAATTATCTTTATACCATTAATTCTAACTCACATTATCAGAAGAGGAAGGAGTTAGAGAGAAAGTATGGTCCGAAACCTCTAGAATGTCTTCCTGAACAATATCACAAAGATAATCATTCTGATATTTCTGAGTCTAGTATAGCTCAATATGATAACTTTAAAAGAGCAAACATCTGATTGTAAGCTATTACTTAAAATTTTAGCGATGAATCATCAGAAAACTATAACTTGAGTGATGAAAGTAGTGGCCTTAAATCTGATATTAGTGATAGAGCAATGCAATTGCTAAGAGAGAAAATTGCAAGCAACTATGCTAACCTTCAAATTGATTAATTCTATTATTCTAGTTAGAAATGGGGTTTTGGGGTTTTGGGGTTTTGGGGTTTTGGGG